GCCGCATATGGTCCACCCCATATGGCTGTGTGCTCTAAGTAGGGTCTAGGAGTTGAGGGCCAAATATCTTAGATGGTATTATGATCTCTGATGCTTCTCTGGTATGACTCTTCTGAGGTAGTCATAACAAAAGAAACACTATATGCCTCATATGGTCCACCCCATATGACTGTGTGCTCTAAGTAGGGTCTAGGAGTTGAGGACCAAATATCTTAGATGGTATTATTGGAATCCATACAACTTATCAAAGGTACATGCACAAAACATTTATACTGGAATTGGAAACTTTGACCCCAGGAATCATGCCACCAGATAATCTGTGATGTAAAAGATTATCACAAAGCTAGGAAAAAAATCCCGAATTTAATGATAACTGAAAAAACTTTGGTCAAAATCAAAAACATGCACAAAATAAGACAAGACCAAGGCAAAACTTTGATATGAACAACCTTTGATAGTTATCCAGAATTTGCTAAGTGATTACTGATTATATTTAACAGCCAAAAGTTTCTATCATTTGCCAATTGAATTACTCTGGAAAGAGATTTGTATCTTAGCATTAGCCCAATGGAAATTTTTAATTGACTGTGAATATTGTTTGGTTGACGGTCTCCTGCCTGTGACTTTATTCCTCCAGATAATAGACCTTTCAGAAATTAGTAAGAACTGAACAATGGTTTATAGTCAAAACTGGACTTGATAGAAAACAGGTAAAATATGACAAACACCAGGTCAAACCTTAACTTGAAAACCTCAGGTCTATTTGCAGATTCTTTGGATTAAGAGGGGAGGGGATAGGGGGATTAGCCTCTCCACTTTTTGCTAATATCCACTACTTTACAGAAGTACAATTTTAAATTGTTCTCGGCAGTCATTGTTATGGACTTGTGGTTTTTCTACCACATGTACATTCACTGCTAGGTGTTCGTTTAATATACAAATGCATGTGGACATCATATTGTGAGAGGACTAAATGGTAATTCAAGATTAGTTTTGCCTGCCATAAGTAATATTTGGCCTGCATTTTAGCCATTGGCAGCCCACTATTTAAGGTTCTGGTGCATTTTTGTAGTGCTAATGTATTTGTATTACTGAATGATTCATAAGGATACGATCCACGATCAATAACCCAAAATTGAATATCACCAACAATGCAAGAATCAATCCATTTGCAGCAGGAAAGGTTAGTTTCCTAGTCTTATGTAAATAATGACAGTACCTATGAAATAACATAGTATAAATATTCTAATTAATATAAAAGAAGTGTGTCTTAGATTTACATGTACAGTAGGGTTACCAAACATCAATTTCATATCATTAAAAAAATGAATATTATGAAACCCTGTTTACTTTTAACCCAAAGTATGTAAACCGTCATATTAAGTGAGAGACCTAACAAACTTTACTTAGGGATAGCCTCAGTTATTCAGTGTCAAAATATTCAAAAATACCAATGGTAAAAGCAAAGAATACACGAATTTCAAAATATGAAACAATGGTTTCAAGTCAAGGTTGGACTTGATGATCAAAAGAATCAAGTTCAGTCTTGACTTCAAACCATTGTTTTGTGGTCATCCAACTGAATGTGGGACAGGTCTAGTGGTGAGAAATACTTACTCCTTAATGCCATAGGCTAGTACAAGATCAGTTACAATAACTGATACACGTTGGAATACTATTGTTCTTGTACTGGCATACTCTTTACTACTGATAACAACCATCATTGGGTCAACATGAACAGCTATTTGAGAGAGAATGAACTCAAACCAGGCAAACAATGGAGGGTAGTCAAGGGTCCATTGAGATGTGTCCTGGGAAATGATATAATTCATAATTAGTCAAAGTGCTTTTTAACCCTTAAACTACCTCTGGGCTGATCAAAGTCAGGGCATGTCTAACTCACAGATAGAACCTTGAAACAACCTCTGGGCTGATCAAAGTCAGGGCATGTCTAACTCACAGATAGAACCCTGAAACAACCTCTAAGCTGATAAAAGTCAGGGTATGTCTTACTCACAGATCAATTCCTGAAACAACCTCTGGGCTAATCAAAGTTAGGGTATGGCTATCTTACTGATTGAATTGGAATTAAGCTCGTTTGGTTTTGTTAAGGGAAGAAAACCAGAACCAGAAAAGAAAAATGAATCAAAGGAGACCCAATAAAATCTACTCACATGATGTGCAAAGTCTAGGAGTCAAACCAGATATGCTAGAGTTGACRAGTATTTATGATGTCGGACTGTATTCCTACCTCATAGTACCATTTATCAATGGGCAAGCTGTGTGTTACAGCCAACCAATTCCTATGCACCTCGAAGTCTGTTGAACGACTGGAAAATAAACATAAAACATAGAAGCCTACATTAAAATGTAATTATAAGACAATAGCAATCATTATAACTTACTATGACTGCAGGAAAAGAAGCTTCGATAAGGAAGAAAATAAAACCAATGTAGCGAACCAAGACTCCACTCCGTCCGCCATCTTGGATTGATGAGTCCTCAATGCGCATGCTCAGTATTGGTTATTTGTTGTCATCAGCTGACTGGTGTGTAGTGCAGTCTCATATGTTATTCAAGATGGCGTCTTCTAACAGATCAGTAACCAACACTTCTTTGTCACTAACACTACCAATATCATGTCAAATCTGCCTAGGAAAGGTAAGTCTAAGCAATCTAGATACTCGATAGATGAATCATGTTGCCTGCTGTTTGATTCCCAACTGTGTTTGTTGTGTTTTGTTAGGTCAAGGAACCGGTTGTCTGTCCCAATCAACATGTCTTTTGCTCTCCTTGTCTGAACCTTTGGTTACGTTCAAATCCTTACTGCCCGACTTGTAGGACGCCGATCACCAATGATCAACCCTGCAAGAAAATATTAGGTAACTATCATCTTCGTCTTAGTGTTTTAGGGTAGGTTATGTGAAATCCAGCGTAATGAGAAAAAGATGTGCGCTTTTTCGAAATGATTTTTACACTTGACGACAAAATGCGCTTTCTTTTGTGTTCATTTGCTGCACTGATTAAACTATTTTATAATTTAGAACTGATTACTGTATTATCCAGGAATAGAACTTTTGCCATTCCTGGAACGAAAGATGAGGTCAAGGGACGATTTGGACTCGATATTTTATTTCTTGGGGAAGGGAGAAAAGAATAATGAGTTCTGAAATGTTTGGACGCGTGAACACCTTTCGATAATGGCCTCTCTGTCACAGTACAGAGTGCGCGTCACAAAGGTTGACATTAAAGGTCAACGCGTAGTCTACGACTCTAATTCTGTTCATGCCAGGCTTTGTTTTGTGTCTGGATTGATGTTCGACCCACGCCTGACCCTTCTTTAGCTGGTATTCATTTATCTGTGAGCAAAGAAACTTTTACTCTGCTATGTGATGTTGATGGTCATGTCTTTAGGTGAGATTGACTGTATTTTCGTTTACTGACCCATAAATTGTGAACTGATCTTGGCTTTGAAAGAAGAACTTGTAGCTAAATTGTGTTTGTGTTCCGCATGATCTGGCATCTTGAGTTTAAGACTTCTCAGACATTCAGAAGGTTCCATCAAAGTCAAAAGATCACAGAGATACACTGAACTAGTGTTAAATATATCTTAAGATAATAGCCATTTGTCTCTACTATTTAGACTCAAACTTTCTTGAAGTATAAACCTCATTTTATATTCATATATTTAAGGTTCAATAGTTGATCATTGAGTAACCTTGCTTGCTCTATCACCCAGTCAGAAAGTCTGCTGAAACCTCAGAACAAATGTAGATTTTTTTTTGATAGCTAAACTAGATAGAAATAATATAATAAGGTTTCATTATCCTGCAAATATAATCTAGAAAGATATATTTGATTTCTGTAGCTCACATGATAAGTTCTGCATCCCCTTAACTCCTGATGACCTTATAATGTGTGTATTTTTCATGACGCCAAAAATCAAAACCTTTAAAACATTGCCTTTCAAATCGTTTCTTTGTTTAGGAAGTATTGACCTGCAAGTTAATTCAGACGCCATAACAAAAGCTGAGCTACGAAGGACAAGACTTGAACTCATAAGGAAGGAGTATGAGGTTGGTCAAATGTTGCATTTCTTTGTACTTCATGGTCCTTGTGGTGTGCGCTGTGTATTGATTGACCTTTATCTCTGCGTGCAAAAATTTAGAGCCTTCAAATTAGTATTTATAGTCATATCAGTACTCCATTTCTCTCAAAGTTGTTAGAAATTGCAATACGCAGAGGTAATACAGTACTTTGAAGCTTATGGAATAAATTTTTGCTAATAATTCTTTTATAGCTAATGATATTAAATACTCATGAGAGAACAATACGGTCATTATTCAGCTCTGAATTTATCGTTCCCGAAGCCATAGAAAACGATTATGACTTAGCACTTTTACCAGAGCAGTCTTTGCAATAGGCCATTTCATGGGTCCTGTTACTCAACCTCAGCCTCGTCAGCGTGTAATATTTTCTTTAAAAATTGCCTACAACCTGTGAATTTTTTAAGTGTTTCAATTGTTCGTTGATGTGTAAATTCCTTTCATTACTACGGACTGTAGTCAAATCCTAAAGAATATATTACACGCTGACGAGGCTGAGGTTAAGTAACTGGATCTGTGAAATGGTCTATTAACTTTAGAATGTTCAAACATGAATTTCAAATACTTTGATTTATTATTGCCTATTAATTAGTTATATATTAAATGAAGGCTTGTTGTTTAAAATGGGCAATAATGTTGTTTCATATCATGGTACTTTTGAGACAAATTGATAATTTTATTGAAAATGTAATCAGTTTACCAGTACACATATACATGTATTAAACAAAATATTCATTTCAAAACAATGTCATACATTATTACTAGTTATAATCAAGGCCTATCTATATATCTTTAAAGGTAATACATATACCAGGGAAATGATCAACAGCCATAGTAATCAAGTTTCATGATCATACACTTGCTTTATCTTCAAAAAATATTATTTGTAGTCAAATCATACTTGGATATTTTGAAGTAGACCTGTTCACCTGGATTCTGGTACATGTATATGTGAGCCGTGAGAATGTGTAAAACAGTTTTTGTAAACATGGTAATTTACAGATCCTCAAGTTTAACCTTTTTTGTATCATGCAAATAATTACTAGCACCTTTTTGGCATTATCAAAGCAAGAAAGACCAATTAATGGTGATTATATTGAGTGTAACCTCAATAATTCATCAACAGATGGAAAAGCTGTAGATGCGTGCTATGAGATTAAAATTATCTTTAGTTCATAAAATCCTATAAAAAATACTATAACAGACATGTTGTTTCTCTGTTTGAATATTTTAAAGCCTGCAGATATAACTTTTGTGTTACATTGTGCACTAGCGTAGGGAGGGGGGCATGTGCCCCCTCCAAGAGTTTGCTTTCGGCACCAAAATTTGATTAATTCATGTTGGATTCCTGTGGATTTGATGAGAAAATAGTAAATTTCCCAACCCGAAATTGAGACCTCACTATGTTCCTAACATTGTGTAACTATATCTATGATATCCAAGTGCCTCAAAACTAGTATTTTTTCGTAGGGCATTAGATAATTACTTGGATTTATAGAGTAATTGCTCATTCCATAAGAGTGATGTGCTTTGCCTCATTGACATTGGTAAATTGCCCAAAGTGTGAAATCAAAGAAGTGCTTTCTAACCTCTAGCCTCAACTGACATGCAAAAATACATGTCCTTATAAAATATATTTAATAGTTCTTACATACAACTGTTCAAGTGCCCTTTATTGAGACCAGCCAAACCTATTAAGTATTGTATTGTCTTGAATGTTCCTGACAATCTTATCCTCGAAAGGTCACTACGTGGATAGTGATTCTTGATAAAGCAAGTCATGTCATATGATCTTTTTTACCATCTTTCTGACTAATGTATCCCTAGATGGAAAACACCTGACCTTTAGCCTTACGTGTTTGCTGTTTCATGCGGGGAATTTGATCACCAGGATAAGTGAATAACTTAGCTAAAAGAACATTTAAGATTATGGATGTATATGAAGTCAAAACATATGTTACTGTACCTTTAGTATTAAAATATATATTAATGTTCCTATAGATCTTGTATCCTATATGTTTCCAAAAATATAACTGTCCAAGGAATGATTAAAAAAAAGAAAGACTTCTCTATTGTTTTCTGTAGTGATTAAGTAGTTATCTCATGACCTTGGGATGACTAAAAGGGTACAAAGGCCAGTGCTAGTGGTCTAATATCATTCAGCTAATCACTAAAGCTTCTTCTTGCTGTAATTTTTTGATTTGTTAACTGTGATTTGTCATACTTGAAAGGAAAAGACACTTTTGGATCCCTTTGTGGGTCGAGTCAAAGGTCAACATGTGCAATGGATCATTACGTTATTRAATTTTCTGATCAGATTTCATAAGGGCTTCTGGCCAGCATCTTATCAAAGAACTGTCTTCATCTTTTACTCAAGATCACATGCCATGCCGTGAGCTACCAAAGTTTAGAAATCCACAGACAGAACAAGAATGTATTATTGGGGGGGGGGGAGGGGAGAAGGTGTTGGTTAACTACTACCCACAACTACGGTCTAGAAGGTCAAATCTATGGAGGGGAGTCCTGTATTGAGTTTTTACATTGGAACTCCCCCCTGAATTAAACCGGATCTGCCACTCCATGAGGCTTAGGATCTCTGAAATATCTGTTTGTCAGATGAAGCTTGTCGTTATAGTTGTTGTTGTTGTTTGCTTCAGCCTTATTACTGGGATTTGAAATATATATATATACTATTTCACACTATTGCTGATCTAAGCAGCAATATTCATAATCATTTTTATTGCTAATTATCATTAATATTATTATTGATTGTTAATATTTACTGGGCTACCTGTGTTTATATTTCTTATTCTTTTAAATGTTTTAGGATGACTTATCAACAATGCAGAACACTATTGAGAGGCTTAAAGCAGAAAACAAACGACTCCACGAAAGGCTCTCTGAACAAGACAAGACGATATCATCACTTCATTTATCTGTCAATCAGAAATCAGGCAAGGAAAGCAGTTCTTCCAAGCCATGCCCTGATCTCGACATGCTCCTCAAGCTTACTGCAAAACTTCAAGAAGCAAGTGTGACTTATGAACAACTTAAAAATGACATGTTAAAAACAAAAGAGGTAAGAAACTGAGAGAACAGGAGTTGGGACTTGATGAGTTTTACAAAAGAGGCAACAAAGGAGAAATGGGTCTTAACTTATTAACTTATCTGGTAAAGTGTAAGACTGAGGGGGAGGGGGTTGGGTAGGGTTAGGACTTCAGTTCATCACTCAAATAGGGATGGAAATGTAAACCCAAGGAGGAAGGGGTAAAGCTTAATAATGGATTGCATACCAGTAGACTGTGAAAATACTTAATCACAAACTATGGAGAATGTCATGGTCACTTGATAGTGTATTGTTGTTAATGCACTTACTTTCCTTAGGAAAACAAAAGAGTACGAGAAGAAAACGAAAGTTTGTTACGACAGACAGCAAGATTAAAAGATGATTCATTATTTACCAAGTCTCCACAGAGGTTGGTACATCAGATACTTTGTTACTGATTAAATCTAGAAGAGATATATTGGCTTGTGGACCAACAGACAGATACACAGACAGGCAGACCGACCGACTTACCAGAAGGACAGAAAGAGTAAAACAAACACCACCGTCTCCTCTTCCTGCTCTTACATAGAGTAGAACAGGAGTTATTATTTAACCTTCTAATGTATCAGTCAATGCTGACGGCCCCATAGCAACCCGAGCCGTAGGATTCTCACCTTCCTGAAAGCCGAAAGGTTTGCTATTTCACTTCCCATTTATACCCACCCGGCACCCAGCATAAACTCAAGCAATGTTTTAATGTTTTGTAATAACGTCCAACGATTTACATGCAGAAATATTTTTTGGACATTGTTACTCAACTAGATTAGCTTTATAGTTATTTTGAGTAGCATTTAYTTTTCTTTTGTATTAATTTTCTATTGTGCAGTGTAAATATTTATAGTATAAGTAATAAAAATGATTGATTGATTGATAACCGCGGTTCTGTCTTAGGTTTAGTCGTTACAGCATGGCAGCAATGCAAACAAAAGTCAGCCAGTACGAAAAGGAAGTTCAACAACTGAAAAAAGCACTAAGAAGAAGCGACAGTTACATTGAAGAACTCAACGCTAAAATCGATGTTAAAAGTTGTGATGAACGACCGTCCTCGTTAGGAGATTCTTGTCAGAAGCAGGCATCATCTACGAACGATGAGTCGCGCCGCAGTTCGATTGCATCTATAGAAGGCCTCACCACTACCTCAGGTACATCTCCAAAGAATCCTGCCGATAGTAATACAGAGAATAACTCTTCGTCCGGTGATGAAGACAGACCAACAATGGTCGATGTTTGTAACTTTCCCAGTTCATCAGCACTGACAACACTTAGTCAGAATGCATCTAATATTGGGGACGTACTATCTTCTCCTCTCGCCGAAGCAGCCAGTGCAATAGAAGCTGCAGATCAGTGGTTAAAAGCTGCATCTAGTAAAGCTGATAGCTCTTCTGGCTTGCAAGCCCCAGACGTTTTCTACCAGGCAGATATCTCACTCCAGAGACTCGACTCCAAACTCAACATGGGTAGTACACCACCAGTCGATCCTTTTCCCGCCAGTAGACAGTTAATGATGCTGAGCGAACGATTCAGTCGGCAGAGAGATACACCGCCTGTTAAATTAGACTACTCTGTTGCTTCCCCTTCAAGTTCAGATGGTGGAAGGGTTCTTCCCAAGACCCTGGACTTTGATATGTTAGTGGAAGGAGGGTCAGTTAACGGAGACTCACCCCGAAACACTCCACAACTTGGTACTCTGTCACCAAGAATCGAAAACTGCTCAAATGACTTGACGTCTGTGTCTGCCGCCGTGTCGTACGCTTATACCAAAATCAAGACTGAAACTAACGAATCCTTGGATCCTGCCACACAAGCAAAAAGAGTAAAACTGGAGAAAGACGAGACGTTTCAATTTGGGGACTAGTCCCATTCTAAAGTCCGTCTCGAAGGAACATTAGGCACTTTGAGATAGGCCATGGCGAGTCATTACAGCTACGTTGGTCAACAGCGCTTCCCTGCCAGGAACAACTTCGACGCTTGCAGTCTCTGAAGACTTAGAAGATAGCACATACTAAGCGAATAAGAAGGCGCGTCATGACGTCACCAGTCGTGATCTCCACATCTTGGTCTAACTGACACTAGAGAAAAAAGTTTGCGCATGCGTGCATTTCAGCACGTTTTCTAAGAATTTTGAAGAGTTTGAGTGAGAAAATAAATGTTTGTTTTCTCAAAGTATACAAAAAAGTTCGAGAGTATACTTTCATCAGATCAAGATACTGTCTTAACAAACACAATATTAAAGAATTAGCCTTAAGTTTCAAGCATGGACAATAAGTTTTGGCATTTTGTGAAGTCCAATTTATCAGGCATGTTTGAAAGTCAAATTTACTTATGTTTTGACTAATTTACCTACGGATTCAGAGCATGCGCAGACGTTTTTCACTCGTGTCGGTCTAACTCGAAGTGACTATCAACCAGGTCTTGAATAGTAACGAGAGAACACTTTATGAGTGCAGATATATAATATACTGGCGTACGCACATGTACATATATATAGTTTTAAGCGTGTTTCTAAACACCATACGCAACTTATCTTATGCCAAGCATAGGTTCGTCCCAGACATTAAATTATTTTGATTCTTTTATAATACTTGATAGGTAGGGGACTGACTAGTAGGTTTTCTTTAATATCTCGTTCCATAAAGTATTTCCAAATGTTTCGCGCAGAGAAAGACAAGTACCTTATGTTATTATTAGATCCCAGTTTTTAACGTGAGCATAGAAGGATTTGACGTCACCATAAACCTTGTTGCCATTTGCTTCCGTCTTGTGAAACAGCCAGAGAAGTCTTATGCCATGACGTCACTCTTAGGGTCCAGTTCCCAAGAGAACTCATTGCGCTTTATCAAAGCGTGTGTCTCAATATATTAGAGTATATTTGTGGTTTGACTGTGAAAAGGGAAGGCACGGTTTTGGACCAATCACAGCGCGCTGGATTACAGCACGGTCACGACACAGGAACGAGCTTTTCACAGCCATACGAATTTTGCTCTAGGGCGCCATCACTTGCGTTCAAAGGTATCGGTAGGACAGTCTACCTAAACTGTAAGATAACATGATATCTAAAATACTATAACTAGACATAAATTTTAAGAATTTTAGTATATTAAATTAATTTAGAAGAAAATATTCTATTCAGTCGTTGGTTTGTCAAAACTTGAATTTATCGCCAAGCGAGCTATGATCTTTATTTTATTTAGTCATATTTTGAGGATAAAGTAAATAAAAGTAGGGATTGTACAAAAGAGATTAGTTTGATTTATATTTTAAGTTAAATGTCAGTTAATGCTGTAAAAACAAATATTGGGTTTAATTAATATACCAAAACAATTAAAAGAATTGTTAATTTAGTGCCGTTGGCAAAAATACTGTTTGTGTTATGTACTTGTACTGTGGGAGGGGGATAGGGGACTGTCTGGTGTACTGTGGGAGGGGGATAGGGACTGTGTCTGGTGTACTGTGTGAGGGGGATAGGGGACTGTGTCTGGTGTACTGTGTGAGGGGGATAGTAGACTGTCTGGTGTACTGTGGGAGGATAATAGGGGACTGCCTGGTGTACTGTGGAAGGGGATAGTGGATTGTCTCTCAGCCTGGTTGAAAGATCATTATCCTTCTATCGGCATACACAAAGTCTTTCTACATTTAACATACACCAGTCACATATTCCAACTGCTGTGCCATGACTCCTGTGACTCCTACTCCTATGCGTCACGTACCCAGTGATCAAACATCCTCACTTTATTCTTAAATCTACACCACTCGGCTTTGTTAACAACTATATCACACTCACCATTCATCAAGATTCCTTTAGTCTACCAAGAGTCTCTAGCTTCGTTGCTGTGGATGTATGTAATGAATGCATTAATACCCTAACATTATATTTGAACCTTATTAAAGTCGCATGAAGCAGTATTTTATCCCCGCTAGAATTATGCACCAGACTAAGGATGCATAATTGAAACTTCTCAAAAAAGGCTAAAAATTTACCAGACACAACATTGGATGCTTGGAAATAACCAGAGAAATGTGTCATAGAGAAGTTCCCTGCAAAAGCTTCTTGGTCGGGTCATCATTTCTCTCCCGCGCTAGTCTTCGCGCCGTTTTCAGACATCAATGGTTTCGCCGAAAACCCTTTGTCGAAACATGGTATCGAGGATTTAAAAAACATTTTTTTTTTCGTAGATACTACACTAATTGTAGCTTATTCGCTAAATTATCTGAAAGATATAGTAATGCTTTGTATACAGCTGCGAGTAATTTGAATTTGTATGCGTCATACATACATATAGATAGTCGGCGTGTTTCGAATACACGTTTTTATTTGATACATTTATATAGATTGATGCTGCGATTCCGGTTCTAAAAAGTATAGTCTTCAGATCACTGACATAGTGATCAGTAATTCTTTTATCTATCTTTGAAAAAAGCTCGTTTAGCTAGTAAACTGAAGCGGGAATTTGATCGCGCGCGATCAAGACTCGAAGCTGATTAGCAAAATGCGCAAATGGTTTTTAAGAGAGTGTTTTTATGTTTTCACTTAACCATCTCCAAAAATCCAGCGCTCAATACTAAATGCTTAAAAAATGAATATGAATTGGTTTTAAAATATTGTGTTGGATGTCATTTGAATGTCATTTCGGCCGAGCAAGACATRATTGCATTTAACTTGTGGGCTCGAGGATAATTACAGATTGTCTAAAGCCAGCTTTCACGGTTACYAACTAAACCATTTAATTTTGTTTAATGCTAGAAAATTATGCGTGGCAAACCCCACTTTACAAATTTGGCAGATTTTCGATTTGGAGGCGAACGAGAGCTGGTATTAGATAGACTATAGTCTTAGCGGAGGTCTTAACATCTTAAATGCCCGAAACCAGATAGATGCTGATGGCGTTGTATTGTGTCGTATATATTACACTACTCCAACGGCTTCCGATTTAATGCTGAAAAAAGATTTAAAAAAAAAAAAAAAGAAATATATAGAAAAAAGTATTACGACTCCCGAAAGAAACCCAAATATAACGCCTCTATACCACAAAAAAGATCAGCTACAGTCCAACATTTACGGTCATTTGAAGTAAACAAATAATCCAGTACAGTTGAATGCTATTGGTAGAAAGACATGTTTGGTTCTTCACAACACGAAAGAGGGATGTCACAAATTACGTTTTTTCATTATTATTTGATGAGTAATAACACATTGTGGCCAAAACTAGTGAAATACACGCATAAGACCATCATCTGAAAACCTAATAGCACAGTTCTGAACTAAGGGTACGACAGTTTGTATACCGATTAAAAGAATTCCTTACGACGTTTTTACGTTTGAGGATGTCCCGAGCAAACCTCGTTTACGTTAAATTTATGCAGAAAGTTCGTAATGACAGGTGGCTTTGAATCATTTATTACAAACAAATGATTTCAAAAATTGCTCTTTGGGCTTACAATTACGCACCATGCTGCGTATGAGAGATCAAGAATGAATGAAATGGTGTAAAAGTTTATACAAATTCGCTTTTTTTTYCTATCAAAAAGCTAAACTTCCAAATCACGACCTTCAAAAGAACAAGGTGGTTAACTGGTATCTTTCCCTACAAAACTTGGTTTCTTTCAAGATTCTAGTTTCATTTAAAATTAATACAGGTGTGTTTGTCTGACAAATACGAGACAGGCCACGTTAATTTTTTATACTTTTTACGGGATCACAAAAAAACCAATATGCACAAATCGCTCAACAACCACTTTCTTAGGGCTGAGATGTGAATCTCGCTCTAACAAACCTTATGTTCTCTTACTCTGTCCCGGAATGAGAATGGTTATAGAGTAACTCCTAAGGATTCGACAATGGATTATTGGAATTTTCTGCGTTGCTGACAATGGATATTACAACGTGATTTGGGGAATGGGCTATGTACAGATACATGTTGTTTGATGGATGTCTTCAATCATGTTCTAAGTAAGCTGGAAGAAAGATTCACTAAGAGAGTCTTTTGGAGCTGTGTTACGCTCATTATATGGTATATTTGGGATCCCTCAGGGATGTTAACGTCACTTACTGCAAGAGGTTAGTGCAAAGGCTTGTTTTAGTTAAGTTTAGTCACTAATATTGTAATAACTAGGTTTCACTTGTATGGGCGCAAACTGCTTGGGCTTACATGTAAGCTCGTGGGATCGTACCAATTAAGACCTGCGATAAACTTTACGAATTGAGCTTTTGAACTCTTCATCGCCGGGAGGTACAGAGGGATTTTTCAATGTTACCTTACGTGAAATGATAATAAAGTAGTCAAAAGATTCTTAAAGCATTGTAAGTAAGAAAACTTTGCTATTCTCGGCTCGTGAATGCTTAATGATTAGCGTCTTGAATAGTCGCGGTCGTTGTTCTAATTCTTTTCGCGAATTTATAGATTACATTTGAAGGGCTTCCCATAGAGTAGCTTGTCCAAAGGTAGTAACAAGGTTTAGCTGGTCCAGCACAGTACTGGCGTGAGTAAAGAGATGTATTTAGTACTAACAGACGCGACTAAACGAAAATCTAAGGTTTTTCTACAATTTGATTAAACATGCAAAAACGGTTCTGAAAGTTATCAAAAATTTAAAAGATTGAACGCGTCGAAGGAGCTTCTTTCGAGCTATTGGCGTTGACGATAAGCCGAACAAATACTTAGATATTAGCTAAGTATAAGTTTCATTCTATCCATCATTTACGATTAACTTTCTATGATAATCTATTACGCACCGTGGTTAATTTTCCGTTTTTGTAACAGAGTAAAACCGACAAAAACATCTCGAAAACGACTGAAAAATACTAGATAAACAAACTAAATGTAACTATAAACAACCATAACAAGAAGTAGATCCCAGGAGTTTTGCCTTGACTTGATCAACTAGTTACTGAACATATCAGTAAAGTAGCGTATAATTATAAATGAGATCTACATAGCTATATTGAGGTAATGCTTTCTAAGGGATACTGATTCACGAATTCTCTTGTTAGTTAGTTTCCATTGAGATTTCTTATTTTTTAGTGTTCACCTCGGTTAAACGCCCTATTTTAAAGTATCAGTTTAGTTGTACGTATTTTTGAGCTTTACAGCTGTGAGTATAACGTGCGAAGAAGTGTTACAAAAAATCTGCCTATTTGTTTGACTTTATTACTTTTACGACTGTGATATGCCGGCAAATATTAACATCTTGAAACTGAATTTCTTATCCCTCAAAATCCTTCACTTTTACTGTTGGGAAATTACATTTCATCGGAATGACAGTGTAACAATAGCTGGGCGGCGGCTTTGGATATGATTGATGAGCTAAAGTCTGGATTCATGACCTCTTTCTTGTTTTGATATTTTAGTAATCATTCTGTATTCGTTGAGGTGGTTAGTTTGTTACTTTATAATGTATTACTTGTTTGTAATGATATCTCTGTCAGTTATTTGTGGCCCTTGTTGTGTACTTGTTGCGGGCTAGCCATGTTTTAATCAATATCTATCTAAGTAGACATACGCGGAATCTCGCACGCGCCAAAAACTGCACACACAAATACYCACTATGGATTGGCATTTCATGTGGAGGTTTTTTCTTCTTGATGAAGACCTTTTTTGAATTTAATTACACCATATCGTCTTTATATTTTCCTTCTTCTTTTCTTATCGGCCATTTTTATTTATTTTTAATCTTTCATTTTCCTTTCACTATTTTTTTTTTTCTTTTCTTCCATTCATCTCTTTCTCTTTTTCCCTCTATCATACCTTACGAAAGCATTAATGTTTTCACAGAGAAACTGAAATGCAACATATATCATTGTAAAGCCATTTTTTCAATTCCGTAATTATGAATTAGTTAAAGTTTCAGATATTGATGGGCGTGATAGTCTTTTATTTCGGTTAACAGTCGCGGAACGTGGAATAAATTCCCCTTAATATCCTTGTCTGTGGACCAGATGTCCAAGTGAAGATCATTGGTTAGTTGTATGGAGTTAAGTAGATTTATACCATATGTGAATGGATGGTTAGGAATCAAGATGTCTGCATAAGTCAATTTGATTACTCGCTGCGTGCTGTCGACTTTTTTAATTCAGAATGCTTCTTTTCATCAAATTCAAAAGCCTTGTCTGCCTCTTGTGATTGAGCTTTTGTGGAAAAGAATTTGAATGAGCAATGCACAGCTAGGTATAGGCTTAAAATGAACTGTATATCTGTATGAACTTACAAATTATATTGAATATAATACTAGTGATATCATAGATATAGTTCATTAGAATGATATTTTGTGCGCTTGATTCATTGAACAACGAATAAAAGAAAAGAAAGAAATTAAAATTTACTTAGGAATAGACTGTACGCATATTCGTCAGTTCAAAGAAAAACTGATTAAAAAATTAAAAATCAAAGTTTTAAATCTGATGTCAGGGAATTAGTGAATACTTCCTCTCGTGCTTTATCTAGTGGAAAGAAAGAAAGAAAGAGAGATACGCGTGCAAATTGTCACAATGTGTCGGGGCCTACGTACCACAAGTTTCATTCGCAAGCACATCACACCCGTCGGACTGATATACTCTTGGAATGAGGAATCATTAGCATTCGAAACGAGGAAACCATTAGAAAGCGGATACAAAGACTACAATTCAGGAATAACTAGTGAAAAACTAGTTTCGTGACACGAGGAAGAATAAGTGGAAGAGCTTAAGTATTCTCGAGTTAACCACTTTGAATAAGAAGAATTAAAGTTATGCATATATATATATTTAAATTCTCGGAATATTGGTACTGGCAATGGTTCATATTTTCCCCCCAAATATTATGTTCTGAAACTGAAGTCGATATAAAACCATGACAATCTCATTTGAAATACTTCTCCCTGGTCTAGTTTGTCAATCTCTACATACTCTCAAGACAGCCGGACGTTTATGAAATAACTAGGTGTTTGCACATGGTGGTCTTAGGATTTTTTCATTACTTTGTGGTTTCAGATTGATACAATTCAACGAGACACTAAGATCGAGCCAGTATCCACCTTTTCTTTGATACATCTTACATGTGCCGCATATCATGCATGTCAAGCTTGACGTTTGATTACTCGAATAGTACGAGTTGAGTCGAATATTCGACTGTACAACGGTATTTACATTTTACCGTCATTTTTTTGAACCGCGCACGCGCGTCTGATTTTATATCTATTTCCCATCGGATCGTAGGTTAGAATAGTTTTACGTTCATGTCATCTTAGGTTTCTCCTAACCAGTAACTTAAAACTACGACTGCCTTCTGCTATTCAGCTAGTTAGGGCGCGCACAATAACACGTGCGCACCACTAATATCTTTTTTCAAATGTGCCATTAGCTACGCGTTAGTTGTTAAAGTTGCGCATGCTCAGATGTTTGACCGCTGACTGAAAAATTCCATTTTACGGCGGAAAGTTACGATTAGTGTACGATTAGTGCTGGTAGAACGCATGCTAATCCTTTAACTTTGTAAGCAGTCTTTTTTCTTTTTTTTTCCTAACATAATTTTTAAAGTATCAACGATATGTCGAAGGAGTACGCATGCGCCGTAACTGAAGCGACCTAGGTTTTCGCTAGGGAGGGGTGGGGTGGTTTCGATATTCAGTTTTCATCTACTTTCTCACATAAGCTAAAAGGTCGGGAAAAAGATAACAGAGAAATTTCAGTATACTTTAATCCCGGATCAACTCGCGTTCAGCTTGCGTATGGTCGGTTAGTGGTTTCTTTTTTTTATTTTCTCCTTGAGTGTTTTTCTTCGACGTATTTTCCTAACATCTCCCGTGATTTCGGCACAAAACCACAATAATATGTCTGGTAAAATTAGCTGTTCCATTCAACCTCAGCCAATCAGACTCCCTCGTGTTCTCCTGCACCCAGCTGTCTTATCTGAACTACAGATGCATCGAAATTACGAGTCGACTCCTGATTAAAGCAGCAGTTGGTATATTACGTCAAGACCTAATACCTTTGACCCAGTATTGTAAATAATAATAATGAACTAGAACGTTCAAATAGACCCCTATGGAGACCACAGGAAGACCAATTCCTATTTTTATACATTCACATAAGAAATCTTTACTATTTTTGGAATAAGACTTAAGAAAGAAATTCGTTGGCTATAAAGACACTGTTTACTCCTAAGTTATTTGTAGAACTCCGAATGTTTGATAAACACTTCGTCGAAATACCTGTRGTATAGGAAGGTTTTTATAAGAAACCTTTCGTGCGTACTTTTTCCCACAATGATCACGTGATAGGGCAAGCACTCGATAGTCAATTTAGATAGTTAGTGAACACCGTGGTAGGTCGTTCCTTTTACCTACCGCCATTTGGGAAATAAATAATCTCCATTCAGACCAAGTTTAAAGTCTATATGAAGTGTGTCGTTTAAAATATATATAAAAATATTGAATGAAAAAATGTGAAATTTTGTGGGTATTTTTGAGTAGGAAATGGAAGCTATATAATGATATTAAAGATCTCATATACCACAGTATAATGGTTGTGTAAACTTTGAATCCCTTCATCTGGCATGCCAAGCATTATTCAGCATATCTAACTAATGAGATTCGCGGTCAGCAATTTCGCTTGTTTTGTGTTTAAATTCTACAGCCCAATAAGTAGGAGGATTCATTTAATGAGCTTTTGGTGGTTTTTGACCGGATATACAGGGACTGAACAATGAAAGCAGGAATGGTGCGATATATGAACATGTCAAACTGAATGGAGTACTGAATGAAAGAGAGGAACAGTGGGAGGGAATGATGGAATATTGTAAGAATATAAAGAGGAAAAGAGAAAAGAGACTGAATCAAAGATTGTTATATAAATAACCTGTGTATCTGAATGGAGTACTGAATGAAAGAGAGTAACAGTGGGAGGGAATGATAAATTATTGTAAGAATATAAAGAGGAAAAGAGAAAAGAGACTGAATCAAAGATTGTTATATAAATAACCTGTGTATCTGAATGGAGTACTGAATGAAAGAGAGGAACAGTGGGAGGGAATGATGGAATATTGTAACAATATAAAGAGGACAAAAGGGTGAATGGGCCGAGCC